TTTGCACATTTGAGGAATTGGAGCTTCGCGCACCAGCTTCATGTGCTTGTCATTGACCCTGAATTGCTCGCTGTGTCTCAATGAACGCCCATCATTAAATGAGACTTTGTCACTAACCATTGGACAGTTAGCGTTACCATTGGACAGTTAGCGTTACCATTGATGATATCGTAGAAAAAAGTCAATGACGCGTTGACACGTCGACGGCGAATACTAATCATGTTCAAGCCAGACAATCGTTGCTCGTACGGTGTGATTGAGTATTGGTTATGCACGGATGGGTATTCTCGACGAGCGTACATAGTGAATTGGCGTTGCACGGATTCGATTTTGTCACATTTTGTGGAATGGAAGCCATACCATTGCGCAGTAATCGAGGTGAGATTGAACCAATGCAAAATACAGCGACTTTAGTGTAGTAACGTCAGTGATGTCATGGCAGAAGCGCTTGACAAAGCCAAGTGCAGCCGTTGCCTTCGAAGTGACCATGTCAATATGTTTGGCAAAAGACATGACTTGCTGCAGCTTTCTGTCAATTAGAACACCCAAGTCCTTGTGTTCAGTCACTTTGTCGAAGGTGTGGTCGCCATAGGTGTAGCTTGTTTCCAAATGCTCACGTTTCTTGTAGATAGATAGCACTGCACATTTTTTGAGGTTAAGGTGCAGCAAATTCACATCACACCAGTGTTTAAGTTTAGTATTTGATATAAATATTCTTTTATATGTATATTTACATTTTATTACATTAATTGAATTGCTATATTTGCATAAAATTTGTTACTCTCTCCATAATCTATTTCTTTTAAAATATTCATTTAATCTCTGTTTAACAGTATTTGTACTCGTGTTAAAATCAATTAAATAAGTATCACAGACTGGAGTAGGAACATTATTATAATTCTTATTTTCTTTATGAATTAAAGGTGGCTTAATTGGCACAAATTTGTTATAAAAATCATTGTACGTAGACAGCATATGATTGATTGGTTCAAATCTGGAGTAATCACGGTGTCGTATTGGTAGAGATAGGAATGCTGTGTCTCTTGTCCAATGCCGTGGTGTTCTAATATTGATTTCGTTCATAATGTGTTTCGATGATGTATGTCCACACATCACATTATGAACGAGTGATATTTGGGCTACTTTTCTCCGTTCTTCGAGCGTTATCATTTGTAATTCAAGCAGTCGGCATTCATATGGTGGTTTTCTAAATCTGTGTGGCCATTTCATTTTACGAAGTGCAAACAACAGAAATTGTTTGGATTCAACTTGGGCAATCTTTTCAGCTGTGTATGGGTTCCATACTTGAGATGCATATTCGACAATCGGAAGGACAAATGTGTTAAATAGTCTCTTTATGGTCCATGGATCCTCAAACTCTCTACCAAATCGTTTAATCCAGGCCAAACGTGATTTTGCTTTGGCTGTAATGTATTCAATGTGTGCAGTAAAGTTCAATTTATGATCGAGTATAACTCCCAGATCTTTTATCACGTTGACTCGCTTAATTTGCTCGTTGCCAATTGAATACTTGAAGTTGAATTTCATGTCTCCACGAAAAAATGACACAAATTTAGTCTTAGACACATTCAATTTTAGCTGATTCCGATTAAAGTATTCAACAAGCTCATTCAAATCCGCTTGCAATTGCAGACAATCATCATAGTGTCTGTTACAATGTATTTTTCAACACATTACAATCGGTGCCACCAGGATCGCCTGTGGTATATTGCTGTTGCAGCAACCTTGTGTGCGGTTACGTTTGAAGTACTTGACGACTCTATTTAGGTCATCTTGAAGTGCCAAACAATCATCAACTTGCTTTATTTGCATTGAAAAGCGAGTGTCATCGGCAAACGATTGTAAATTGGAGTTGACTATGCAATGGGGCAGATCAATGATGAACAGGACAAACAGCGACAATTTTATAAATACTTGGTTCCTATCAAACCGCCTAATTTACCAGATGAATGTATTATTAGGGGGAGTATGTGTAAGTTGACCCACTTTGTAAGTTGACCCACCCCGCCGATTTTGTATTTTGACCGACAAATTGTTAATTTGGCTAGTCTCAATCGATTTAGAAACGTCAAAAACCAATATAAAAGTAGTTCTCAAGAGTAAATACGCTTATTAAACGGCTCGGATCGGCTCATAAAAAGTTTTTGCAAAAAAAAAATCATTTTTATAAAAACTAAATTTTTTCGGACCATCATCAAGTAGACAATTCCAAAGATATCAGCAAAGCGAGTATAAGCTTTCTTCACTAGTTTTTCGTGTATTTTCATAATCCTAAGTCATTTCACGCATATCGTTACATGGCGAAATTCTTTCCGTGCATATTGAAATGTCGACCAATTTTGTAAGTTGACCCACCCGAAAAAAAATCAGAAAAATGAGACAAATTGTTGCTATTGCTAACATTAAGAGTTGATTAAAATCACGTCAAATTTGTGTGAGCGATCAAAATGAACTGAATTTTATTAAGTTGTTAATTTTGAACAGTTATTCCAAAAATGCTTAATTGCTAGATATGGTTCGTTGACTTTAATTTCGAATATTGAACCTTGTTTTTTTGATGAAAAATGCTGAAATGCCAATTGATTGGACTTTATATGAATTTAAACAAATGCCAATTTGATTGGACTTTGTATGAACAATATGCTGAATTTAACAATATGTTCTTGAACATTCTCTCGGGCCAAACTTTGATATAAACAAACAAATTTAATAACAATTTAGAATTTTAAACAATATTTTGATTTACAATGAGAAAAAAAAAATAGTATTGATTTCGTGATTAAAATTTCATTCATCCGATTTAAACGAAAATGTCATATTGGAAGAATCTTATTTAATGTTATTTTTCCCATGGCATTATGATCGATACGTTGTTTTTTGCACGATGTTCTACGGATGTGTGTCTCATTCCTCGGGGTACTAGTGCCTGTCCGTTTTTTGTATCGTGAAATTTGATTTCCTTTTTATCTACAATCGTAGCTTCGGCTGTTGTGCTGGTTGATTGTATTTGTTGCCTACAGTGGTTCTCGGATTTTACTGAACGTAAGCGCTTTTTTGAATGTAGTTGGTTTACGCAGTGCATACAACCGCATTTTGCCAGACGTTTCAATGTTTTTTTGTTTTTGTTGCGTTTGTGCGATCTCCACCAGTTCATGACGATGTGGATGATCATGTTCGTACAAATATTCAATGCTATGTAAATTTTGAGCGTTGTTTTTACTTCTGACACGCTATCGTCGATTCCTTCGATACTTGTGATTGTATCGTTCGTCAATTTTGTTATTCTTTCTTGCATTTGCCTGTCTTCGGCTTCCAGTTTGTCAACGTATTGTCCGGCTATCCAAAACCCAGAACTAGGTAATGGAGCTGCATTTGCCGCTGGACAATACATTGAAATGGCCATTACGAAAATTAACATAGCCGACGTTGCGAGTTTTCGTATTTGTTTTGAGAATATGAGTACACATGCGATGAATGTTAAACACATGCATACTCCGATGATCGTTGTCGTTGTTGTTTCAATGGATTTTGCGGACGTAGTTGCATTTACTGGCGTTATTGTCATTGCGGTGGTCAGTAATGCCGTAATTGAAGATGTACCCATATTTTGAGTACGGTTGGTAGATTTTTTTAAATCATTTTCAATCGTTGATGAGTTTGGTATTTCGTTGGCATCGTCGATCGGAAGTGGAGCCAACTTTGTTAATGGACGTGTCAAAGTATTATGCGATGTTTTTATCGTTGCCACTCTTATCAGTCCGTCTTGGCCTGGATGTACTTTAATGACTCGGCCCATGGGCCATTGGCCCACGGGTGATGACTGATCGTTTAAAAGCACAATGTCGTTTTCTTTTATGGCGTTTTTAATCGTTTGCCATTTTTTTCGTTGCTGCAGCGTATGTAAATACTCACACTGCCATCTTTTCCAGAACTCACGTACCGTTTGTTGTACCCTTTTCCAGCGGTCGAGATAACTGATCTTGCATTCATCCAAGTTTTCGCTGGCGATTGCTGTTGGGTGTGAGTTTATAAGGAAGTGTGCAGGCGTCAACACTTGGATGTCGTTTACATCACACGAAATTTGAGTCAGAGGTCTTGAATTAACTGCCGACTCAATTTGCGCTAGAATCGTCGTTAACTCTTCGAATGTGAATTTTTGTTCTCCCATCACTTTCATTAGATGCATTTTTACTGTTTTTACGCCAGCTTCTACCAGGCCATTGAAATGTGGTGCGCCCGGTGGTGAGAATTTCCATGTTATTCTCTGTGTTGACAATTCGTTTGAAATTCGCGTGTTGAATTCCTCATTTTCGTTGTTACTTAATTCGTTTAATAATCGATTTGCAGCCACAAAATTGGTTCCATTGTCGCTGAATATCACTTTTACTTCACCCCGTCTCGCGATAAAACGTCGTAGTGCAGCAATAAATGCGTCAGCTGACATGTCACTGACCAACTCAACGTGCAACGCTTTCGTTGACATACATACAAAAATGCAAATGTACGCCTTTACTACTCTTGCATTTCGGAGTTTCGATGTTTTGATGAAAATTGCTCCCGTAAAGTCAACCATTGTGTTTGTAAATGGCTTGCTTACGACTGTTGTTCTAACCGCAGGTAAATTTGCCATTTTTTGTTGCATTGTTTTTGGGTTGTGTCTACGGCATGTGACACACCCGTTGAGTTGTTTTTTTACCGCCGAAAGACCGTTGACTATCCAATATTTCTGTCGGATAAGTGATTCGGTCAACCTTGGGCCAGCGTGAAAATTATTTTTGTGCATATCACGAATGATTAAAATTGAGATTCCACTTTTTTTTGGAATTAAAATCGGGTGTCTGGTGTTAAATGGAATGTCGTAGTTTTTTATTCTACCACCCACGCGTAACAGACCATTCGTATCGATGAACACATTCAACTTTAGAAGTTCACTGGTTTTTTCAATTTTTTTGTTTTTATTTAATTTTTCAATTTCATTTTCATAATACACATGCTGTACGATTCGAATGATTTTCGTTTCGGCTTGCTCTAGCTCGGTCGTTGTAATCGGAGTACCTTTTTCATATTTTTTTACATTCATTTTTCGTGTGTAACAAATAAACCTATTCACATAAGCGAACACTCTTATCATTTTGTTCCACGAAGATACTAATGGTAAATTGTCGTCGATAAAACACCTTTTATCACTTTGAACAAGCAATACATTCAGTTTTTGTTCTTTCGATGTTTCAAAATTTAAGTCGTCGTTGTAAATAATATCGGTGTTTTCGTGTAATATTGCTGGGCCGAACCACCAAAGTGGATGATTAGCCAGTTCGTCACCAAAAATTCCACGCGATGCGCAGTCTGCTGGATTTTGTTTCCCGGCGATATGATGCCACTCGACGTTTTTCAGTTTGTTGATACGTTTGATTCGATGGGCGACAAATTTTTTATACTTTTGTGGATTAGATTTAATCCACGCCAAGGCCACCTTGGAATCACTCCATAAAATTGTTGCGTTGATGTTAAAACTCATTCTCGTTCGCGTAGCTTTCACTAAATTCGTTAACAATTCCGCTCCGCACAATTCTAATTTTGGAATTGTTTGCTCGTTGATGGGTGCCAGTTTTGTTTTTGCTGCTATCAGCACCACTCGAATCGATTCGTCACTTGCGAATCGAATGTAGACGTTGGCCGAAATTGCTTTTGCACACGCATCAGAAAATCCATGCAATTCCACCTTCATTTTTGTTGCTGTGCCGAGCCACCGTGGTATCACAATTGAATTTACTACGCTCAATCGCGATTTGTAGCTCATCCATTCATTCACAATTTCGATCGGTAAATCATCATCCCAAGCGTATGGTTTATTATTTTCGTGTTTTAGCTTCCACACATTTTGAAGCAAAATTTTCGCTTTGACGATGACCGGTGCGATCCATCCTAACGGATCGTATTGCACTGTTGCTATTTCTGAAGCTAGTTGTCGTTTCGTTCGTGGCCGTTCGTGTATATTTAATTTGATGTTGAATACAAATTCATCATTTTTCGGGTTCCATGGAATTCCAAGCACTTTGACAATGCTTACATTTTGCTCTTTGTCGCACTCAGGGATAGCTTCAAGTAATTCAGGCGAATTACTGACGATTTTCCTCAGATTGAAGCCGTACTCATCAAATGCCTGCTTCATTTCACGTAGAATGGACAATGCTTCATCAACCGTCTCGGCCCCACCCGAATAGTCGTCAACATAAAAGCATTTCAAAATTGCCTTCGCTGCTCGTGGGTATTTTTCCTTGACCCTTTGAGCAATTTCGTGTAAAGATCTAATGGCAAGATATGGAGCATCCTTCAAACCAAATGTTACTGTCGTCATTTTGTAACTTTTTATCGGCTCGTCGCAAGATTCTCGCCATAGGATCATTTGTAAATGTTGTTGGTTTTCGTTTAAGCGAATTTGCTTGTACATCTTTTCTAAATCTGCTATGACAGCGATTTTTGGCTCTCTCCATCGCATGATCAATTCAAAGATTGAAGATTGATCGATTTTTCCCACAACCAATTGCTCGTTCAAAGATTTTCCATTTGCCGTTTTGTTCGAGGCATTGTACACCTGTCTTAGCTTGGTTGTGGTACTATTTTTAAACACTGCGTGGTGGGGAATGTAGTGGCTGTCGATTGGTGGATTTTTTTCCAGCACTAAATGTCCCAACTCAATGGATTCATTGATAGTTGCAACGTATTGTTTGTGAAATTCTGGATTTTTCGCGAATTTTTTCTCCAATTGGAATAAAGTTGCTAACGCTATCTTACGTGAATCACCGAGACATGGTCCGTTTTCAGTTGTAAATGCCATTGAAACATTTAATCTGCCGTCGTCGTCTCTTTTTGTTGTTTTTACGTAATACTCTTCACGACAACGCTCTTCATCGCTCGGTTCTGTTTCACTTTCATCACTATCGACGCATTCAAGATCTTCAGATAAGAAAAAATTCGAAATTTCTCGTTCAATTTCTATGTTTGAAATCAATGATGTAATTTTTATTGGAGTGTTGCGTGCTTCATTTTTTCCTGGGCCCATTATCAACCAGCCCAATTCACTATTTACTGCAATCGGAGCATCGATCGGCCCCTTGATTAGGCCGTTTTTTATAATTGCTGTAAATGCCGCGACATCCAACAGCAAATCGATTTCATTTTCGTCGTTGATCGTTGGATCTGCATACAAAAGATTTTGAAGGTAATCATAACGCTTCAAATCGTCTTTAAAATATGATAGGTTTGTAATTTTTTTCATAACAAGCGCTTCGGTTTCGAGTTCGTAATCATCAGAAAAATGTGGTCGCAGTGTAAGGTTTGTCATTTTACCAGCGGTCGACTTACGTCCCTCTACACCCTGCACTTCAGCATTCACACTGTCTGAGTCAAGACCCAATTTTTGGAATGCATTTTCAGTTATTAAAGCACCCTGTGAGGCACCATCGATTACCGATTTTAATAGCACTTTTTCGCCGTTTTTTGATAGTACATTCACAAATGCCGTTGCTAACAATTTATTTGTATTTTTTGTCGTTGTCAATACTTGAACTTGCGATGTTTCGTTACTTTTGCTGCTCGTTGCTTCATTAATAGTGGTCGTCGTGAGCAGTGTCGTTTTCTTTTCGTTTGCTTCTTTTTTTGTTTCGAAATGCAGCAAGGTGTTATGTTTCTTGCCGCATGTTTTGCACGTATTGAATTTAGCTTTGCATTCACCGTCATGCTTTTGAATGCAAATAACACACACTTTTTCGGATTTTGCCCATTCACTTCGTTCTTTCACTGATTTATTTTTAAATTCAAAACATTTGTAGACAGAATGAGGCTTATCACAAAATGTACACTTGAATGCCGTTGGTGAATCGTCGATTTTTTTGATTTTTTTTTCAAAATTTTCATTTTTTTTGTCATATTTTTCATGTCCACCTTCAGCTGATAGCAATGCCATGAAGCGATGCTCGATGTAATTTAAGAAGTCGGATAATTGTTGTAGCTCGCGAACATCGACCAATTTGGATTCGTAGTCGATTAAAGTTGTTTTGCTTAACTTTTTCTTTAGAATGAGACGAGATTTTCGAGAGTTGTCAAAAGACGTACATTTGCTCTCTCTGCTCTGTAAATCTCTGTTTTTTATTATTTTAAAAGTGAAACAGTAATTGATTTTCGATAAAATTTATATATTCAGAAACCTCTCGTCAACGCACACACGAGCCATATGAAGTTTTATTAATTTTATTTTAATTTTTGTTTTTATCAGTACATTTTTACTTTATTTACCATTCACATAACCACAAAATGTCAACACATACTGAACCACACTCTTGTGCAACAAATGATTGCAAAGATTATCATGATATTTTTTTAAATTGCCGTTTCTGTAAACAAAAAATGAATGCAAAATGTCTACGTGACCGTGATGAGCTGCGAACGAAAAAACTCCTATTCATGTTCGATTTAATGAGTGAAGCGAAGGACAGTGATGGCAATCCATATTTCGTTTTCAAAGGTGTACCGAGTGTAAACAAAGTGAATGAATTCCAACAATTCTTTGATGAAAACACACCATTTGGACTTACGTGTGAAGTTTGCACAGCGAAATTCGGAAGTCACACGCAAAATGATAATGGCTCCGACCGATCCAATGTACATAAACCGAGTGGAAGTCATGAAAACTCAAATCAAACATCTCAAATGAACCAACCTGGTATGTTGCCGGCTAACATTAGCGTATCCAACAAACCAAATGTGCATACCAAACGAATTGTAATAACGACGGAAGATGCAAATGGACTATACACTTTGTACGTTTCCAAAGCTGATACAGATTCATCTTCAGATGATATTGTCAGCTACTTAATGGAAAAAGCCAACCTAAACCCGGATATATTCAAGGTTTTTGCACTGCCCAGCAAAAGAAAATACCGCAAAACCTACAATGCTTTCAAAATAACCGTATTCACACGGGAGGTATGTGAATTGCTATGCAACTCCGATATCTGGTCAAGTGAATATCGTGTTAGAGCTTTTGAAAAAACACGTAATCGAAGTAATGTTCATAGGCGAAAACACAATGACTACCGTCGTACAACAGCCAAGTCAACTTCAAACTCACGACATTCCAATAGATTCAACAACAACAGTAACAAACATCACACCAGACACAACCGGAACAATAACAACAACAACAATCAGCGTCGGGACATGAATAACCAACACAGACGCCGACGTGAGGATCGATCGAATGAATTTGGCTACCATAATCGAAATCGTAATAACCACAACGGTCGATATAATTATGAACCTCGCCATCGTGTAGATCACATGCACAATGGACAATTGCCACAGACCAATATGCCGCCTCCTTTTTGGTACCAAACGCCATATTTCTACCCTCCACCTCAGCAACAGGTTCATTCTCGACCAACTATGCCACTATTCCATCCGCACTATACACACGCACCACATCAAAACTTCCAACCGTTCAACGTTCAAAATCACAATGGAATGTAAGTCATACAATGTTTGATGACGTTTTGATATACTGTAATAATTTGAACGGCGTGAAAAGTATAGACAAATCAGTTGATTTTTTATCTGAAGTTTTAGCAGCGATTTTTAAAATTTACATGTTAAGCGAAACGCACCTCAACGCAGATGTTTCTTCATCAGAGATATTTCCACCGAACTTCGAAGTATTCAGATGCGATAGATCACCTGCCACTGAACAGTTTCAGCGTATCAAGAGAAAAGGCTGGGCGGTGTTCTTATCGCAATCGACAAGACATTCAATCCGCAATGTATCGGAACAGCTGAACATCTTGGTGCTGAACAAGTATGGGCCAAAGTAAAATGCAACGGCAGAAACTTGATACTGGCACAAGTTTACATAAGACCAGATTCACCGTTGGAAGTTTATAAAGCCCATATGAATGCATTGCGTGAAGTAGCATCAAAAGCAAATCAAAATGATGTATTGCTTGTATCAGGTGATTTCAATCTGCCCAATCTGATTTGGTATACATGCAACACAAATGATGCCCATGATCCTGATATTAATTTTGAGCCAAATCCAGAAGTGGCTGTTGCTGTAAATGTGGTGAGCGAAAAAGAGAAAATTGTCATTGATACGTGTCACGAGCTGGGTTTGTTTCAAATATGTACTCACCACAATGAAAACAAACGAATGTTGGATTTGCTATGGACGAATGAGCCCAACATGTTCACATGCAATATGAGCAAAAGTAAAATAGTAAAAAATGAAACACATCATCAAGCACTCGAGGTCATCATCCATGATAATATTGACAGCAAATCAGATGATGTGATTACGTTCAAAGACTTCAAAAATTCTGATTACACATCGATCAATGAATTTTTTGATAATGCCAACTGGAACAATGTTTTCAACGGAATGGCTTTAAACGATGCAATTGATCAGTTCTACGCAATAGTCAACACTGCAATTGATACGAATGTTGAAACGAGAACGAAAAAACACCAAATTCATCCGAAGTGGTTCGATAGTGAACTGATCAATTTGAAGAACAGAGTCAACACATTGCATAAAATGAAGAAGTTTGACACGACGCTGAACTACGTCAAATATGGATCGAAAAAAGATCACGCTGAACTACGTCGTGAGTATAAAAAGAAATCTCGTTCTGCTTTTAGGAACTACAAACTCGAGATGGAACAATTGATAAATGATGATCCACAGAAATTCTTCGAATATGTCAGAACATGCAATAATACCAATAACGATCTTCCAAATGAAATGGAATATGATGGCAAAAAATGCTCCGACCCATACGAAATTGCCAATTCATTCGCAACACACTTTGGAAAAGCATATACACAACCGATTGATGGATCCGAAGCAAGCTATGATGAAAATGATCCGATATTGATTGACCGATGTACAAATTTCCCACGTATCAATGTCACTGAGGAATTGGTTATGGAAAAAATCCACGATTTACCAAACAATTTGGTGTCTGGTCCATAGGTGTTAATTTTTGTAATAATTATTCGTTTTTTTATTCACTTATTACTTTTGTCATATTTATTCATTTATTCGTTATTCGTTCTTATTCGCGAATAAGAACGAATAATTATTCATTTATTCGTGAATAAGTTGTAATAGTTATTACTTCTTACAACTTCTTTTTCAATTTTCATTCGTTTTCTTATTCGTTTCTTATTCACTTCTTATTCGTTTCATATATTATTCAATTTTTATTACATTTCTTATTCGTTTCTTGCATGAATAAATGAATAATTATTCGTTCTTATTCGCGAGTAAGAACGAATAACGAATAAATGAATAATCACATAAAATGAATAAGTAATAAAATCTTTTATTACTTATTATTTATTCGTTACACCTATGGTCTGGTCCCGACGGAATACCGAATATGTTCATCAAAAACTGCATTCACACATTGCTGAAGCCAATAACACACATATTGCGTGAATCGTTAAATTCTGGTTGTGTACCGAACACATGGAAACGCTCTTATGTAAGACCTGTGCACAAAAGTGGAGCTAAGTACAAAATTGAGAACTATCTTGGAGTAGCACTGCAATGCATAATACCTAAATTGTTGGATTCGATAATAGCAAATCATTTGAATTATCACATGAGGAACATCATCGATAGCAGCCAGCATGGTTTTGTCAAAGGAAAGTCAACAATAACGAACCTGGCCGAATTTACATCACATACACTGATCGGCATGCAACATGGAATCCAAACTGATGCAATATATCTCGACCTTGCTAAAGCGTTTGACTCGGTTGACGTGAAACTGCTCATACACAAGCTGAAAATTATGGGATTGAATGAGCAAATACTGGAATGGATAAAGTCATATCTAAGTGAACGTCAACAAATAGTAAAATTGAATGGAGCCATGTCTACTCCCATTGAAGTAACATCGGGAACAGGTCAGGGATACCCGATTGGAGCGACACTGTTTGTTCTGTTCATCATTGATCTTCCCCATTGCATAGTCAACTCCAACTTACAATCGTTTGCCGATGACACTCGCTTTTCAATGCAAATAAAGCAAGTCGATGATTGCCTAGCACTTCAAGCTGACCTGAATAGAGTCGTCAAGTACTTCAAACGTAACCGCATGAACTTGAATGTCAAAAAAACGAATTACGTATCATATCACCGTGGCGAGCTGAAATTTGACTTCAAGTACACTATTGAAGGCAAATCAATTGACAGGGTAAAAATAATAAAGGACCTTGGAGTCGTTTTGGATGAAAAAATGAACTTCGATGCTCATATTGAGTACATAACTGCTAGAGCCAAATCTAGACTTGCGTGGATAAAACGTTTTGGAAGAGAGTTCGATGACCCATGGACTATAAAGAGACTCTTCTTCACGTTCGTATTGCCAATCATTGAATATGGATCGCAAATATGGAACCCATACACCAATGAGAAAATCGCTAGAATCGAATCAGTCCAAAAACAATTTCTACTGTTTGCACTGAGAAAAATGAAATGGCCACACAGATTCATTTTGCCACAATACAACAATCGTCTGCTATTTCTACAAATGATTACCTTGGAAGAACGAAGAAAAATCGCACAAATTTGCTTCATACACAATGTTATCTGTGGCCAAACATCGTCGAAGCATATTATGGAGAAAATTAACTTAAGAACACCACGACTCCGAACACGGAACACCGAATTCCTAGAGCTGCCGACCAGAATCTACAACTACTCAATGTTTGAGCCAATTAACTACATGCTCATCACATATAATGAATTTTATAAATACTTTAATATCATAGAGCCAAATCAAACGAATGATTGTGATACTAGTACTATTCCAAAAATATATAAAACTTATTTAATTGATTTTAATGTTAGCACAAACACTGTCAAGCAAAGAATAACTGATTATTTT